AGAACTGTGAAGGCTTTTTTAGATGTTATTTGGCAAACTCTAATCTGGCCTTCCTGTTTTTTTTTTTTTTTTTAATTCTTTATTTTATTTGTGTGTGAGTTAACAACATGCGAGCAGAGCCACGACAGCATCTGCAGGCGTTTTCATGGCATCACAAAGTGTGGCAGTGTAAACAGCACATTTTTTTATATATAACATAAAGATCACAGGCTATGAGACATTAGCAGTTGGTAGTAGACAAGCTAGGTCAAATATCCATATAACATAGTTATTCACACTTAAGCTGATGGTTTTTGTGTAGGTGACTAGTTGAGAAACAATAAGGTGAACACACTTTTAACGAAAGGCAATCAAGCTTGAGTTATATAGCAAGTATTAGCTAGGCATGAGACGGTAGCTTTAAACATGAATTGCACTGTTTGCATAATTGGCTAGGTCAGTCATTGGTCCATGTATTAATGAGAGATATACAGTCTCGTGTAGCAGCCTCAAGTCATAGCTGTCAATGTACAACTAGGTCGGTGTTGCAGTCAGACATGTTCTCACTTGGTTAAGTACGTTTGGCGTCATAAGACGTGCTGCTGTGTGGATGCGGTGTTCTGGTTTGTGCCTTGCTTGTAGGGCAGCGATATCTATGTGAGTGTGTGCTTGTAAGTGCCGTGTAAACTACGTGTGCATAGGGTTACCACACAAAACAGAATGCTAAATAATTTGCACGTGTGACTTAAGTAGGTCGCTATAAGAAGCTCGATGAGCCAGCCTCTCCCAAGGTCCAGCAGTCCCTGTGCTCTGGATACTGTCGCTGCTGGTCAGTTTGAAGGTGATTAGACATGGTTTTTCAGCTTAATTTTTTTTTGCAGGAGCTGCTCTTGTTTGCGACCAGCTAGCTCGGTGGTCCGGCCCCGCCACCCTGGCCTTCCTGTTTTTGAGGCTCACCAATGGTTTACATCTTGTGGTGAACCCTCTGTATTCACTCTGGTGAAGTCTTCTCTTGATTGTTGACTTTGACACTCATACACCTATCTCCTGTAGAGCGTTCTTGATCTGGCCAACTGTTGTGAGGGGTGTTTTTCTTCACTAGGGAAAGAATTCTTTGGTCATCTACCACAGTTGTTTTCCGTGGTCTTCCGGGTCTTTTGGTGTTGCTGAGCTCACCGGTGCGTTCTTTCTTTTTAAGGATGTTCCAAACAGTTGATTTGGCCACACCTAATGTTTTTGCTATCTCTCTGATGGGTTTGTTTTGTTTTTTCAGCCTAATGATGGCTTGCTTCACTGATAGTGACAGCTCTTTAGATCTCATATTGAGAGTTGACAGCAACAGATTCCAAATGCAAATAGCACACTTGAAATGAACTCTGGACCTTTTATCTGCTCCTTGTAAATGGGATAATGAGGGAATAACACACACCTGGCCATGGAACAGCTGAGCAGCCAATTGTCCCATTACTTTTGGTCCCTTGAAAAGTGGGAGGAACATATACAAACTGTTGTAATTCCTACACCGTTCACCTGATTTGGATGTAAATACTCTCAAATTAAAGCTGAAAAGTCTGCAGTTAAAGAACATCTTGTTCATTTCATTTCAAAGCCATTGTGGTGGTGTATAGAGCCAAAAAAGATTAGAATTGTGTCAATGTCCCAATATTTATGGACCTGACTGTAATTGTATGTTAAACTTGTCCTTATTTATTTCTGTGTAGATCTGTGTGTTTAACAAGACAATTTTTTCCATATTTTCCCTGTAGGCATTATCACAGCATGGACATTTTCACTCATTATGACCTTCTCACATCCAATGGCACCAAAGTGGCTGAAGGACACAAGGCAAGCTTCTGCCTGGAGGATTCGGATTGTCAGGAGTGTAAGTAACCCTGATAAGCTTTTGACCAGGAACAGTCGATCCCCTGTTCTGCTACTAAAGGAGCCAGAAAGTGTCCAGTACCCTTGTCTTGGCCACATCCCAAAACCAGGGGACCAGGTCAGTCTCTTGGTCTCAAAAAAAATATATTTTTCAAATGAATGCAAAAAACAAGTCGCAAGAGAGTGCTGAGAATGGACATTAGCTCAATTAACCTGCCCTTCGGTGGGTCCCCGCTCAGTTCTCAAGCTGGTTTTAGCTCATCTTGTGTCATTGCAGAGAGAACCAGGCCATGCAACTCAGACTGAATCCACTCAAAAGGGCAGAACTGATCCGAAATACAGGCCGGCTCTCTCTGCACGAGAGATACAGCAACCCCGGATGAACTGAGCGGGGACCCACCGAAGGGCAGGCTAATTGAGCTGTTATCTATTCTCAGAAATCTCTTGCAACTTGTTTTTTGCTTTATTTTTCAAATTAATCCTCCACTTATTGCAACACTTGTTGTCAATCACAACTGTAGAATATTTATATTTTCCTTAAAAGAGTACATAGACTAGACAAGATAGGGATAGACACGACAGAATATCAGAATCTGAAGAAAGATCAATACACAAGGAATAACATTGTTATTAGCAATAATCAGCATGGTTTTATAAAACATAGGTCATGTCAAATTAACCTAATTGCATTCTACGAAGTAAGTAGAAGTATAGATCATGGTGTTGCAGTGGATGGGATCTACTTGGATTTTGTCAAGGCATTTGATATGGTTCCTCACAATAGGTTAGTCTTCAAACTAAAAGAAATTGGTCTAGATGAATATTCTTGTTCTTGGGTAGAACATTGGCTTATGGATGGAGTACAATGAGTTAATGGTAAATGTTCAAGCTGGACAAAATGAGTAAGTGGTCTCCCTTAGGGTTTTATTCTGGGTCCGCTTCTATCTAACATTCAAAAATGATCTTGAAATAGGCATTGAAAGCCATGTTTCAGTGTTTGCAGATTACGCAAAACTTTGTAAAGTAATAAAATGTGAGCAATATTGTACCTTGCTGCAGAGGAATTTAGACTGGGTACGCAAATCACAGATGTAGTTTAATGTAGAAAAATGCAAAGTTATGCACTTCGGGTCAAGAATGCACAAGCAACTTACATCCTAAATGGTAATGAATTAGGTATAACCACACACGAGAAGGATTTGGGAATTGTTATAGACAACAAATTATGCAACAATGTGCAATGTCAATTTGCACTTGCTAAGGACAGTAAGGTTTTGTCATGTATAACTAGAGGCATTAATTCTCAGGATAAGAATATAATTTTGCCTCTTTATAAATGGCTGGTAAGACCACACCTTGTATATGCTGTGTAATGTTGGGCACCGGTTCTAAAGGATATCATAGTGCTAGAAAAGGTGCAGAGGCAGGCTTCAAAATTAATAAAAGGAATGGAAGATTTTACTTAAGAAGAGAGTTTAACAAATTTAAATCTGATTAGAAAAATAGCGCCTCAGAGGGGATATGATCGCATTATACAAATATATTTGGAGCCCCAATACAAACCATGTGGAAATCTATTCATACATAGGACTATTTGGGGCAGGACAACTGCCTAACTGTGAATTGCCCTTTTATTATGTGTGGATGTGCCTTCCTGGAATGTGTGTTCCCTTGGTAATCTTCTCCCTTCTATAAATTTTTACCTTAAATCCTGCAAAGTACCTTTTAACCACACGGGGGTGCTCCATTACTCCTGATACCCCATTTAGAACGTTTAGTTAGAATGTTCACACCTCGCTAACGAGGTGTGAAAACCGCAGACTGCAAGGGAACAAGTGGCACGTGCTTCCCTGTGTGGCCGCCAGTTTGTATCACGAACGCCCACTAGGGGGAGCATTCGTCTCCCAAACCGGCCTACGCACAGTCTTCGATCCCCATGTCGGGAGTCATCCTACTTGCTCCCAAACGGAGCTATAATCACTGTTAACCCCCTGTCTGGCCGCTACAAGGCTAAGCTCCTAGCTGCCCAGGAGAACATTCTCTCCAGCGGATACCTGAAGAGAGTATCCACCGGAGAGAGGGACACGCGCCAGCAGGGAATCTCTGGAGCTGTGAGTTGGTCTTACGGCTGCAGACTCCCGCTGGCCGTATGGAAGTCCGTGCTAACCAATAGGAGAAGGAGCGCCCATTCAAATTGGATTCGCGCCCTTCTCCTGGTTGGTCGGCGCGAGCAGACACTGATTGGACGCTGCGGGGCGCCCGTTCAAATGGGGTTTCGCACACTTTCATATGACTGGGCGGCGAAGCCACTCTTGCCTCGGGCTCGATTGGTTTTGCGCCTTTCAGCAGATTTGTTCAGTCGGGTTTTGTGCCCTTTCTTCTGATTGGGCCGTGAAACTCCTCTAACGCCAATTGGCATAATCTAGTTTTGTGCCCTTTTGTCAGATTGGGTGGTGAAACTCCTTCCTCCCCCGATTGCTGACTGGCGCAATTTGGTTCGAGCCCTTTCAGCCTATTGGCTGTTGCTTGGTTTAGACACGGTTTGAATTTGCCGGACTAAACCAAGCAGCTCCCTGGAACTAATTTCGGGGATGTACAGAGCCTCGAGTCCCAGACTTTGGATGCTGATATCTCGGACTCTGTACATCCGATCTCGCCGCTTTTTGCAGTAAAGGAGTTTAAGCATGCGTGGGATATGCTATTCTAACTATAAGATAAGATAAGGGACTAATGAAAGTATTTTTAAGAAATTGGGTAGACTAGATAGGCCGAATGGTTCTTATTTGCCGTCACATTCTATGTTTCTATCCCAGGTGGGACCCGGGGCTATTTATCAATATAAGTTTTAACCCTGTACCCCCTTCCTGTCCCAGGGCGCCCCAAAGTTCACCCCCCTGTATGTAATGTGTATTCATGTGTGTCCCTGTGTCCGGTTAGTATCTCCCAGAGTGGGAGATGGTTATCTGTCACCCAGCCCCCTGCTGCCTGGGATTGTGTTGTATGGAATGGAGATGTGCATAAAAAGCTGTGTGCCCAAATAAAGATTGTCAAAAGTTGTATCCGGGAACTGTGTGCCGTCCAGTTACTGGGAAAATGGGTCGGACCTATTCTTACAAGGAATAACCAGCCGGGTTACCCAGGGCCCACTACACTATTCATAGGACACAAGGTCACGCATTTAGACTGGAAGAAACAAGATTTATTTTAAGGCAAAGGAAAAGTTATTTTTACAGTAAGAACAATAAGGATATGGAATTCTCTGCCCAAAGAGGTGGTTTTATCAGAATCTATACAGATGTTTAAACAGAAACTGGGTGAATACTGCCAAAAACATAATATTCAAGGATATCATTTTTAATTTGTGGGTTAACAGCTTCTTGAGCCAGGGAGAGATCTCACTGCCATTCTGGGGTCAAGAAGGAATTTTTTCCTAGTTTGTTGCAAAATTGGAAGCGCTTCAAACTGGGATTTTTCGCCTTTGTTTGTATCAACAGCAATAACAGATGTGAGGAAGGCTGAACTTGATGGACGAAAGTCTATTTTCAGCTATGTAACTATGTAATTATAAGGAGTCAATTTACAATGGCAGAAACAAACTCCAAGAACAGCCAGATGTCGTCTACAATTGTCTAAAATTAACTAAAGTTAGAATAGTCGGTACATAATGGGGCAAAACCATCCAGCTGGGTACAGGGCCATTGGGACTGCAAAATGTAGATATTGTTGACAGTTGAAATCTGGACTGAATGCTTCAACTCTGGGACAGGATTATTTTTTAAGAATGGTTAGCCCACTAGCAGCACTATCAGTTAGTGGTTTAATAGTTACAAACCCTTGGCAGTGTGAAGGTTAATAATGTGGCAGCAGGGCAGAAGTTGCTAGCCATGTGGGGCCCTAATGTTTAAAATAAAGGGTGGGGGGAGGGGGGTGATTTGGCCCCACACATAATTGTAGTGAGGAGGGGACCAAAAAATCTAACACTAAATACTTAAAGGCAGAGGTCTTCTTTCCTCTCATTCTTCTGTTCTTCAGTCGGTTATCCATGATCAACAAAGGGCCTCCCTAAGAAGAAAAAATAATAAATAAAAACCTGGTGCCCCCTCCTGTTATTGCACAGGCCGCTTCCCCATGGGATGGGGCCAATTCGAGCGACTGGACAGCAATGGCTGTCCAATCACTAGTGTTTAATGTTTAGAAAGCAATATGTGAGTCTCACTGATCCCCAGAGGAATTCTACTTATTTTATTTTTTACTTTTGTAATGTAGTGGCTGGCAAGTCACCACATTTTAATCCTTGTTTTTTTTTGCCTGTTGGCTGCTAGCGCCTAAAATTGCCAATGTCAAATTGTCATATTACAGTCACTTTAACCAGATTTGATCCACTTGGACAATATACAGTGTTTAGGGAGTAACCCTGTAAGACATACATTTTTAAAATTTGCACCCTTTATATCCTCTCAATAGAAAGTCACACAAAACCATATAAAAAAACAAAACAAAAAAACATTGGAACCTCCTCCCCCCAACCTGGTAGGAGTCCTTTAATTCTGTTAATTTATGATTCTAGATTTATATCAAAAAGTTATAAATTAATTTGCATGTCAATGAGTGAAATAAGTATTTGGTCCCCTGTATCAGTGTTCCCAAACCCAGTCCTCATTGACCACCAACAGTTCAGATTTTGTCAGTACCTCCATTGGATTAAAACAGGGATACACATAAATCCTGGACTGTTGGTGGTCCACGAAGACTGGGTTGGGGAACACTGCTCCACTTATTGCAGTGTTATAAGGCAAAGTACATGAGAGACTAGAATAAAAGGGAGGGGAACTCTTGCGAGCTCTTTCTTTATAAACAACTATTCATCAGTTCTATTCTTTTTCTCAAACCTCCACACACCCTGTCTTTACAGTGGTCAGTAAAAGATATGAATGTGCCAACTTCGGAGAGCAGGGGATCACAGTGGGATGCTGGGATTTATACCGCCATGATATTGATTGCCAGTGGATTGATATCACCGATGTTAAACCTGGGAATTACATTCTTCAGGTAAGAAAATCAACACCCTCATGTCCTGCTGATCCAAAGCCTCATCCTTGGCATACAGTGCCACATCTCTGGTCATGTTCATTAAATGCCCCATATCTGCCGTAATCAGGTTCATTCAAGACCCTATATTTATGGTCAGGTTCATCCATCGCCACATCTCCTGTCAGTTTCATCCACCGTTCATCCCATGCCCCATACCTGCTGTGGTAAGGCTTATCCAACATCCCAGGTTCATGCACTGCCACATCCCTGGTCCCGTTAATGTAAAGCCACATATCTATGGTCAGGTTCATCCAACGCCCAATATCGGTGGTCAGATTTATCCAACGCCCCGTATCAGTGGTTAGATTCATTCAACGCCCCATATCTCTAGTCTGGCTCATCTAGTGCAACATTTGTGGTCAAGTGCAACAAAAATTTAGGTTTAGAGAATCCAAGGTCTTCCAGCCAATTACAAATAAAGCTAACATTGATTTTGTAAAAGTGTAAATTCTGCATTAATAAAGCACCTGAGGAGATGTAATTTATTTTTTTAATTGTACTGAAACAGTTTAACTTAAAATTGGTGGACAACATCCAAAACTCCATGTAACCTAACCCCTACATAAACCTGCAGCAGCATGATGGGTTCCTCCTCTGCTATCCGTACTTATTTTTATATCAGGCTACTCGGTTCTTATGCCTGCTTCTTTCCTATAGTATCCAACCTCTTTGCTATCCTCTCTCACATCCCTTTTCTTCTCTCACCGTAGGTTGTCATTAACCCAAATTATGAAGTGGCTGAAAGTGATTTCACCAATAATGCCATGAAATGTAACTGTAAATATGATGGACACCGAATCTGGATACACAATTGTCATCTTGGTAAGGGCACATAATGTGTTATGATAATAGAGTGAGGATAGGTGTGTTCAACATTGGCAGGATAGTAGATGGGTTGGTGACATTGAGAGTACTACAGGGTGTGATATATTGTGTGACATTTAATGTGTGATACTGATCGATTTATAATTTGAACAGGTTTTATATATTTGCTAGTATTGATTAACGTATCTGTTATTCTGTTTCAGGTGATGCATTTAGTGAAGAAGCGAATAAACAATTTGAGCAATACAGAGGCCAACTCAATAACCAGATCATATAACATCCTGGACATCCCTATTTGACCCAGATCCTACATTCTTCCCAATTACCTACAAAATACAAGATTTAACAGTACTGTCCTATACAAAGGAAATAGGCCAAATGTATCCCAAATTCCTGAGTTTAGCATTTCCATCTCTCTGTGTAGTCCTAGCTAGGCCTAGAACATGGCCCCATACTTTAATACTCGGTTCATATAAGTTCCTGTATAGGTTGTATCTAAGCATTATCTTCTAGGTTATTAAAATATTAACATAGTGCCTTCTCAAATAAATCCAAACCATTGCTGCCAGTATGAACCATGAAGTGTAAAAAAAACCCAAACACCTCAGGTCGCCTCCTAAAAAGACACCTTATATATAGATAAGACTATCGCTCAGCTAATTTCAAAATTATTTCTAAGCTACGAGTACACAAGCCACCACCTAACTCAAACAAACCACCATCGATCTTCCTGAAAAAAATGCAGCCTCATATTGTATCAAAGTCACAACTAATCTTTTCCTCAATGGCTTCATATCCACCAAAATCCCCTCTGTGACAGTCGGTCCACACCTCAACATGGCACCAGCTTTAATTCTGTCTTCACGTCCATCATCCTTTTCAAGTGACAGCTGGATATTTCTTTAACGCTATCAATTTGACACAACTGGTTTTCATACACCAAGTTTGGACAAGGAGATCGCAGTGTTAACTTAAAGAAACTTACCACATGTATTTTAACAAGATTATGTTGGTGACCTCTTTGTCCTGTATCCTTAAAAGGAAAGGCATTGAAGTATATAGCCATACAGAGTATCCATACATGCCGACTGAATGTATTACAGCTGTATATACACCAATTGCTGCTAACAGACTTATTCAATAGAGTGGTATTGCTTGTGTCCTCTTAGTGACTACCTGCTCTTATCTCCATACAAACATAATGTATCTCAGAGGTGGCTATACTCCACTGATACATGTGATCTGCACATCTTTCTCAGGCTGCTTCTCTTACCATGTGACCATAACAAGAGCACCTCTACAGTAAGGGTGTGCGTTGTACCACTGAATGCTATTAGACATCTAACCCTCTAATTCAAATTGCAAAATGTAGGCCATAGCTCCTAAGCTGTGACTTTTTGGAGACTATTTCCTAAACAGGTTGAGTGAATCAAATTCAGAGTTAGCAGCATACTCTTCAGCCGGTGCTATGTTTCTATGCTAAATATTACCTCTCTACTGGATGGGCTGTTTGATCTCTTGTGACAATAGAGGAACAGGAATAATAGGAGTTGCAGTTATAACCAGACACTTAGCCCCAGTTTTGACATTGTCATCATTCACATGGTTGAACCACACCTGGAAGCAGCCCACAGTACGTGTTGGCCTTCGCTTGTCAGTTGGCACAAACTGCCAATCCTCTGCTTTGCAGCCACAGTGGGCAAGATATTTGGCATATCATATCAGACTAAGGAAAGAGTGGGAGAAGTTAACTCCTGACAACCCCGGCAGTGTCATTTAGGAGGACCGCAAGGACCTTTTCAGACTGCTTGAATAAGGAGAGTCAGACTAGGTGGCAGGTTGGGCTGAGCACTCAAGTTAGAGCTGAGCAATGGAACACTCAAATAAGAACAAAACCAGAGGATAATCCTAAAATAAGGCCTGAATGTTTATCAAGAACACTTCTGGCATATAGAGGGAGCAAACCAGGAGAGAACATGATATAAATCTGATGATTAAAGGTGACAAGCAGAAGTCACATTTTCTCAGACTGGAATTTGATGGAAAAATTATGTTATTGATCTCAGCCCAAGAAGACAGTGTACTTACATCTTATGGAACTGGTAGATATTCTTTCCGTTGTTTAATAATTCCTGTCCCTCTCTCTTTCATTGTTTGTCGTTTCAAGAGAAGGACAGAAAAACTATTAAACAAAGCAACTCAAATGTAGATATGAAGAGTTACTATGGTGATGCCCATATGGCTGCACATACAGGTCCATTTCAATAAATTGCTGTCATATGTGTTGTTCCGAAGGTACCCGCATGTATCTTTAATGATTGGTGCTTACACAGTTTGGGAAGCTGCTGTGATTTATGAAACAGACATGACACAGAAACTCACATGTGCCAACAAGTTTCCAGACACGTGCACCATATTCCAGCAATGCTGGCCCATCTTGGAGTGGTTTGTCAATATACCATGTTGCCATTCACATGATCTGCAGTCATGTACATCACTCAATAAAAGTAAATATTTGCTCTATAACTTGATTGGTCTAAAATCTGTAAACTATTGTCTGGTTTCTAACCTTGAGTCAAACTGGGTACAAAATCACTGCACACTTGCTTGTTTAATGGAGCTCATAGTCAAGGCTGGCTTAGTATCTATATATCAAGAGGTAGCTTACATAGAGTCACAGGAAAATGAAAGTACACCCTCTTTAAAATTCTATGGTTTTACATATCAGGACATAAGAATCATCTGTTCCTTAGCGGGTTTTAAAATTGGGTAAATACAACCTCAGATTGACAACTATGCATGACATATTACACCGTGTCATCATTTATTTAACAAAAATAAAGCTAAGTCATATGAGAACAACGAAGTACATCTTATGATTCAATAGCTTTAGAACAACATTTAGCAGTAATAACTTGCAGTAATCGTTTTCTGTATGACTATCAGAATCTCACCTTGTTGTGGAGGACTTTTGGCCCACTTTTCTTTACAACGTTGTTTTAGATCATTGAGGTTTGCTGGCATTTCTTTATACACAGCTCTCTTAAGGTCCCACCACAGCATTTCAATCAGGTTAAGGTCTAGACTTTGCCATTGCCATAACCTTGATTCTTTTCTTTTTTGCGGTTTCCCTGTTGCATGACCGAAGTTCGGCCAAGCTTGGGCTGTCGGACAGATGGCTTCACACTTAGCATTAAAATACTTTGGAATACAGAGGAGCTCATGGTTGACTCAATGACTGCAAGGTTCCCAGGTGTGCAAAGCAAAAGCCCAAATCATCATCACTCCACCACCGAACTTGACCATTGGTATTTGTGTTGATATCTGATGCCCCTTTTTAGTATTGGTTCCTCTAGCGCAGTTTCTCTTATTTTGTATTTTAGTTTGTGTTGATATGCTGTTTGGTTTTCGCCAAACATGGCACTGTGCATTATGGCCAAACATCTCCACTTTGGTCCTCGGTCTAAAGGACATTGTTCCATAAGTCTGGTGGTTTGTTCAGATGCAACTTTGCAAATGTAAGTCGGGCTGGCATGTTCTGTTTCAGAGAAGATGCTTTCTCCTGGCAACTTTTCCAAATAAACCCTACTTCCTCGGTCTTTTTCAAAATATACTGTCATAACCTTTGACATGCTGAGGCCTGTAAGAGTCTGAGATGTAACTCTTGGGTTTTGCAACTTTTCCGAGCGCTGCACAGTCTGACCTTCGGGTGAATTTACTTAGATGTCCACTCTACTTTTGACTAAATTTAAAGTCCATCATTCTACAGTGAGAAAGAGGTTTGGAAATGGCATTATAACCCTTCCCAGTGCGATGAGCAGCACCAATTGCTTCTCTATGAACATTGCTGAGGTCTTTCCTCCTTGGCATTGTGTTAACACACACCTTAATGACCACACCAGCAAACTGCCTAAACATTGGCTTTTATAGGTGGTCACACTGGCTGATTAATTAATCAAAGGTATTTGGTTAGCTACACCTGTCTGCTAAACACAAGGACGTATATATAAAAACCCAAAGGTGATATATACAAATAGAGGGTGGTTGAGAACAATACAACCTGGATATGGCTGAAAATGAACGTGGAATCTATAAAATAGCAAAATACAAAATATAGTGAAGTCAGTTAGGCAAAATTGGATTTGCACGTGGTAGAAAACTTACAAGAAGGGAGTAGTAATCACGCCTGTCACCCTGTCAGGAGTACTTTCCACATTGGAGATCGAATATAAATGGCGAGGACTGACAATATCACTTTTTCTTCAGCTCAGGAACAAAAGAAAAAATATAGATAGTGCAGATTGTATAAAAATAACATTTATTCCAAATATTGCACTTACAAGAAATCAGAAGTAAGACAGCATATCTCCATAATGAAGTAATGGCCGGGTCTCCAGATGAAAGTAGAGAGAGATCCCAAAATGGAGGTACACAAAATTAAAAAAATAAAATAAAATAAATAAAAATAACAAATGGACTATAATAACAGCTGTATATTAGCATAAAAAGTCCAAAAGTAGTTTTCAACGCGTTTCGTCACTATGGTATATAGATGTGTTGTAATCTTCATGGTTTATATATCATGCCAATTTTCAAACTCGCGGGGAAATTCACATGTTACTTCCGGTTTTCGGCCCTTAGACTTCCTGCGTTCCACCTTGGAACGCATGGCGTCACTTCCGGTTTCTGGTCTCATCCAATCAAGAGGGCTTCTTGCGTTCCACCTTGGAACGCATGACATCACTTCCGGTTTCGGATCTAATCCGATCGAGGGGAGCCCTCTTCTGCTAGCACTAATAGAAGTGCAGCAGAAAAGGCTTCCCCTCTGGGGCAACAATCAGTTCCCATTATACAAATATGGGACAGAAAAAGAAGTCTGTATGCCATGAGAATAATAAAGCATTAAAAATTTGCATAAGATAAAAAAGAATAACTATAAAGGACTAAATGGATGTTATATAATATGGACCAAATTAATACATGTCATATATAAAACATGACATGTAAGACATTATAAAAAAGGAGTAATAGTACAATATATATTCTGTGATATCAGAATGCATGGTTATATACATGAAACCCCAAAAGGGTACAAATTTGGAAAAACAAATGTATAATATCATTGTAGCCCAATCCAATGTACAATGGGAACAGCATGTACAAATATTAATAACTGAACATATATCAAAGATAGTATATATATATAGCCTACAAAATATATATATATATATATATATTTATTTTTATTTTTTTTCTCGCATAATATAGCATTCTCAAATACAGTAATTAAATAAATACAATTAGATAATATACAAATATAAAGTGTAATGAGTTCAACATCCATCTATAAGATAGAGATAAGGATTAATATCCATATAATACATATAATATAATATATCCAGATGTGGAACTTATATAGGTAAATATAGACAAATTTCAAGCTACTATCAATAAGACCAGGATATAGAAAAGAGAAAAAGAAATTTTGGAAGAAGGATAATTATTGAATTAATTTGTACATCATTAAATTAGACCAGTTAAATCAATATCTTGGTTTAAACCGGTTTTAAGTGTTCTTAAATTGTATATCCATTCTGCTTCTTTTTTAATTAGCTCTTGCATTCTGTTACCTCCCCTCCAGTGTACATCTATCCTATCGATTCCAAAGGCACGAAAGGTGGACCATTCAAAAGAACTACATGTGTTACAGTGTCTAGGTACACTGTGATCAATTGTTTTGTTTCTTATATTAAGGAAATGTTCTCTGTACCTAATATGTAGTTGACGGGTAGTCCTACCTACATATTGTGCCCCACATCCACATTGGAGCAGATAGATGGCATATGTAGTGGTACAATGTAAAAATGTTTTAATTTGATATGTTTTTTGGGTGTATGTCTTTGAAATCGACAATCTTTTTGTCTAAGTTTATACATGTGGAACACTTTCCACATTTATGGAAACCTGGCGTTTTTGATGATTCCAAAAAATGTTTCTTTGGTTTATTAGTATATAAAAATAAACCAAAGAGGAAGTCCCTGAGGAAGTCACCATAGTGACGAAACGCGTTGGACACTACTTTTGGACTTTTTATGCTAATATACAGCTGTTATTATAGTCCATTTGTTATTTTTATTTATTTTATTTTTTAATTTTGTGTACCTCCATTTTGGGATCTCTCTCTACTTTCATCTGGAGATCCGGCCATTACTTCATTATGGAGATATGCTGTCTTACTTCTGATTTCTTGTAAGTGCAATATTTGGAATAAATGTTATTTTTATACAATCTGCACTATCTATATTTTTTCTTTTGTTCCTGAGCTGAAGAAAAAGTGATATTGTCAGTCCTCGCCATTTATATTCGATCTCCAATGTGGAAAGTACTCCTGACAGGGTGACAGGCGTGATTACTACTCCCTTCTTGTAAGTTTTCTACCACGTGCAAATCCAATTTTGCCTAACTGACTTCACTATATTTTGTATTTTGCTATTTTATAGATTCCACGTTCATTTTCAGCCATATCCAGGTTGTATTGTTCCTAACCACCCTCTATCTGTATATATCACCTTTGGGTTTTTATATATACGTCCTTGTGTTTATTCTTTATAGTGTGTGTGTGAGGTACACTTCTCTGAGGGTGTGTTTTTCTAGTGTATCATATAGTAAGCATATCCTTTTTTGTATCTATACACCTGTCTGCTACTTAGCCTCTTAATTCCTATAGAAGCAGTAAGGATGTACTTTCACACATTGTTACTCCATGTTGGCTTTATTTTTGTTAAATAAATCAAGACACGTTGTAATGTCATGTTTTGTTCAGCTGAGTTTGTGTATACTGAATTTTAAGACCTGCCAGGGAACAGATGATTGTTATTATGCCCTATGTAAAACCATAGAATTCAATGAGAAGTATAGTTTATTTTAAAGATTGTCTACTAATGACATTACAGACTGTTCAGGTTCAGTGGGGTTAATATTAGACTTTGTTTTGGGACTATGTTTTTGAAAGGCAATGTACCTGAATAATTGACAAACCGAAACATGCGATATCGAACATGTTTGGGGTCATGAATCGGAGCCAAGTGAGGATTGATGGCTAAGGGGACAGTGAGCAAAGCTAGAATTTATTCACAATTGAAAGGTAAGCAACACCACAGGAAAAGGAGGGTCAGGAAAAAATAAATCTATATATTTCATCTAAAAAGAGATTATTTTCTTTTACGGTTCCTCCTGGTTGATTTGTGAACTAAATGGTGAGTAAATACTGCTTACGATCAGTGTATTGTAAATATATACAATGTAATATAATATGTAGGTATTTTTCAGCACACTGATTGGTCGGTCTAACACCCCTTTTTTTTGTTCTTCTGATTCAGTCCATTTAATATACAAGGTACAGGACATGATCAGACAATCTGCTGAATATCTTAAGCTGTAAATACGGTTTCCTCACTTAATAAAAGTGAAATTCAGGCAGGTATACTGATGTTTCTGTACAGTTCAATGAACCTGCCTTGCTTGGCCCCAGGCGCAGTGTTAGGCCAAGGTTTGGGCATGCAGCAAAGGGCTGGTTAAAACATGTACTAATCTGTATCCCAGCCTAGCAATCAACTTGCACTAATCCATCATTCTGTATCCCAGCCTAGCAAGCAACCTGCACTAATCCCTCAGGGCAATGGACAATTACAAAACCTACAGTTATATATAAACTCGACTTAAAAATTTGGAACTAATCTAATTCCTTACAATCCACAAGCGGACAAATGGATCCATCCGTGATTTACCTGTGGAGTCTTGTTCAATGAATAACTCAATGAATAACTCCACAGGTGAGTCTTGGATACATCGATATGTTCTGGTGTGGATTAAAAAGAATTAGATTCTCCAACTGAATATTTACAGTCTAATATTAACCATCCGCAGTCGGTAATGATAGAACCCTGGAATATGAATATAACAATGCAGACTTGATGTAACTGGAAGTAGAACAGTCCCAACTATACTTAGACTTTAGGGAGTTACCGTGTCCAAATTTTTTGTTAAATCCCCACTCTTATAATATTGTAAAGCACTACAAAACCTGTGGGCGCTATATAAATGGCAATAATAATAAGCTGCAGCGATTGGGTCTGAAGTGCTCCAAGATCCCTGATAGCAGCTAGGAAGCAAATTGGACGGAGGTACTCAGTCGGACTACAGGAGCTCAGTTACATCCTCCATATTTTTTGTCCAGCAGGTAAGGTTTTAATAGTAATGGGAAGCAATAAGATCAAGGCTGTACTTGCACCTCGGCATGAAATCTACAGATTCTGCCATCTTTAAGCATTACGCACTTTTCTCGTCAATGTACAGAATGAGCCTTCGTGCCTGTTCCAGGCCTGGTAAATCGTTAACTTTAAGTGGTTTATGTTTCTGAAGGGTTGCACAAGATGTCCTGTATACACACTGGAGAATCTAGAGGATTTTCACCACATTGGAGAGGTGCGTGGTCCTGATACCGTACTGGAACCTATGCCACACAATCCTTGGAAGCACACAAGTTAACATAATTCTACATGAGGGGAACGGGTGGGGGGCAGTAGTAATATAGTCACTGGCTTATTATCACTGACATTGGCTTGGACGGAGGACAAAGGGGAACCTGCGTATCCCTCTTGGTTAACTCCATCGCTCACTTGAAAATTTGCAAATGAAAATAAAACATGTTAATGCATACAATAAAGTAAAAATTAAAATCCAGCGCACTCCCTTATCTGCTAAACAGCTATTTTGGTGCTGACCAATTTTGACAGTTTTATTAAAAACATCTAATCTAGGAAAAAAATAATGGGGCTTTAGTTACATTATATGATCATACATTGCATAAGCCTGCCACAACGTCAATGTACCCCATCTTTGGCGGGTTCGACTATGTCTGCTAAATGACAGACTCACTTGGGGAAATCCTTCCATCTCGAGTTCTCTGCAGTACAAGGCTAAATAGTTTCCCGAGATGAGGCACCTGTGACAGGGAGGGGTGCAAAACCAAGGAGCTGGCTAGACTCCTAAATATACACCTATATTGTATGCATTGTTTTCTCCTATAAATGCATACAATAAAAACACAGAATGTATTGAAGTGCCAACCACAGTCACATTCGGTCTTTTGTGTCCTTTTCTGATCGCTTTCTATTCACTGGAGATTTATTTTTCTCACATCAATCGCTTGTTACTTGCTTGGTTTGTGTCAGCTTCTCATTAAGCTGGCCAGTGCCCACAGAGGATGGACTGCCAAGCCAAGCCCAGAATGAGACAATTACCCTTTAATATATATATATATGAAGAGGAAGAAGACCGAGAGCTCAATTACTGCTCTCCTATCAGGACCTTCTCCAGTCAATAACAGACACAGAGGCCACAAACGTCTGTTTAGGGCCAGAGAATCGTGCCAGAGCCAGCATCCCCTCCAGGGGAAGACAGGAGCATGACTTCTAACGTTACTGCCATGACCAATAGCACCTGGAGAGAGCACAGAATCATACTTTGTGAACACATCAAAGAGACCAGCACCAAAAGCTGGAGTTTGCTGCTCATTCATTAGTCCATAATCAAGACACAAGGAAGAGAATTCATGGTGCACCTTCAAAGATCGGACACATACATTGACTGTTCCTCACTCCACCGTCTCTGGAATGACATTGACCATGAACGTCTCATTCCGACGTCTTACAATCATTGAGAGTTTAGACTGAGAGTTAACAGCATCGTATATGATTGCAGAAGATACAGCTTTCTGGCCATTAATCTCCAGGATCGTATCCCCAGGCTTCAGTCCAGCCCTGAAAAAGAGGTAAAGGATGAAATAAAAATGAATCAGAACATTATATGTAAACTCAAACTTAAGGTATTCCAGAGCAAACAATCGTTTACCTACAGATACACAAGAATGCTCTGCATTGTATAGTCACTGTATATCTGTTAAAGGAACTCTCTGGGCATCAACATAACTTCAATGCCTTTACATCCATGCTTTGTTTTATCTTCACATTTAGTTCTCGATTTACTAAAGAAAACTAAAAAAAACTAAAAAGTGTTTTGCAACTTTCAATTCCACCCCCATAATTAAAAAATGTTCTGCTGATTGGGAGGTGAGCTCCACCCCCACAGCCAATCGCTGCCCTTGGGTTATTGGTATTAGAAATCAAAGGAGTACTAAGGGAAAGGAAGCAGATAATCAAAGAACAGGGATTCGCTTAGGCAATCGAGCTCACACTGATTTCCCTTAGGCTAAGCGGAGTACATACTCCAAGACTATCTAATAAACAAGTTGCTTTGTGAAAAGAGGGCTGTGGCTAAGGGGATGGGATTACAAATTGTAGACTTGAAGAAAAAAAAAAAAAATCTGAAAAGTGATTTAGAGTGAGAAGAAATGTACAGCATGAATAGAAGTCCACAACCAGTACGTAAGTAGTAGTTTTGAAATGGGTTACTCAAAGCACTATTTTAACTTTCATGTTTTGAAGTGGTCATGGTGCAATGACCCTGAATGTGCAGTGTCCAACAAATGCAAAGCGGCCAATTGTAGGAGCTGCAGGAAGGGAAGGGGCAAAGAAAGAGTAGCAAGTTAGGTGTGAACAAAAGCAGACAGACTGCAGATGCTACAAGAGCTGAAACTAAAGACAGGAGGAAGCAGAGTATGGCAGTCAGAGGGTGGAAAATGAGGCAGAGAGCAGGAAGCGCAGGGCAGAAAACAAGGGAGAGAACGGGAAGCGCAGGGCGGGAAGCGAGGCAGAGAACGGGAAGCGCAGTAGAAAATGAGGCAGAGAGCGGGACCGCAGGGCTGGAAGCGAGGCAGAAAGTGCCAGTCAGAGGGAGGAACGCGAGTGTGACATCAGAAGGTTCAGGTAGAAAGGAAACACAGAGCGGCAGGCGCAGTAAACATTTCCCCATCGCTACTCACTGATATGCTGGGGAGCCAGTAATCACTTTCATGATCAGGACACCCTGCTGTATATCAGGAAAACCAGGATCTCGGAATTTCAACTCAGCCAGGATGCTATCGAGACAGAAAAGAAAGAAAGAAAAAGGAGAGTAAGTGCTAATTTACAGATGGGCAGCAAGCATAGAATGGGATACCACCAGCGCTGTTACCAAGGAGCAGTTAGCCTGCTCTTTGCTTGTGAGTACTATTTTAGTTATTATATATACTGTTGTTTTTATTCAGTGAGCACTATTAGTTGTCTCTTTTTACCCTCTTTCCTGAGTGTGGACCATACCACGGACGGAAGAAACCCACAACATATCCCATAAGCGGGGATTATACCGCTGTACTCCCTTCACACTAGAGCTAGCTATAGCTCTACTAAATGTGAGTTTATTCCCATTTATTCTATCTATATACATAATGGACCGTTCATATTGCACTATTGGTTCTTTTTATTTGGTTTTTGTCTTTCATATGATTGGATTCATGCAGAAAAAGACACTGAGGATATAACCCCTTAAGGACACATGACGTGTGACATGTCATGATTCCCTTTTATTCCAGAAGTTTGGTCCTCAAGGGGTTAAGCACCTTATTCTATATTTAATCTGAGTAAGAACCTTTTTATTGGACTTTTTTTTTTGGTGATATTTGTATTTACTTATTTTAGGTGTTGTGATTTTTACTGCTCATTATATTTTGTCATAGAAATTGGCGCAGCCCTATTTTTCTCACTATCAAGACAGAGGCAGTATCAAACAAACTGCAAATCGAAGGCTTGTGAAGTCATTACACAGCTAGAGTACATATTACGATGTGGGTGTCAATGTCATGGAAGACAAACTTTGGCTGAGTGTACGACAGTCTTGACAAAGTCATTTGTATGAAACGCATAGACTATTTTGCTACCTACTTCTTACAAACTGTACTGCTATGTTAATTTTTGCTATTTCTTCACTGCATTTTCATCCCTAAGAATGGCAATAAAAACTGTGACTTTTCTGAGAATTGCTTGTTCCAGTCTGTCTGCTTTAATGCGGAGAAGAGGAGAAGACCCATAAGGTTTTGTGAATAAGACCTGGTCCAGCACTTTCTTTTATTCATTGTGGGAACAGACATGAACCCTCTGGATGCCTCGACAAAGCTGGTCAAGGCAGCAATAATATACCCTAAAAACACAGATTCTCCAACCCCTACCTCGGAGACAGGGTCACCATTATCACCCCAATGTACTGACGTTTCCTGTGGGAGGAGTTAAGCCAGGAGCCTAAGGGAGAGAAAGAGATGACAGAGGTAAAATTGTGTCCTGACCTCTCCCCTCAACACTGCCCGTAGTAGCAGTCCCAAATCTCTCAGCAAGCCCATTGTACCAAACTCTCTCTGCAACCATCAAACTAGACCCTTAACACCCCAGATAATCAATGGAACAGACTGAGTTTCCCACACTAGCCCATATCCGATACTCTCCACACAAGACCCATAATCCCCCCCTCCACACTGGACCCCTACCCCATCGCCACCCCACCAGACCACTCTCTGTCTCCAACTACACAACCAGAGTCCTCTCTCACACCACAATAACAAAAGTCTCTTAACTCTGACTCTTGTATTTCTGTAAGAAATCTTGCACTCTGTCAGACGGGATAGCAAACGAGATTCCAGGTGTAACCTTCATGGTATTGATCCCAATAACTTCGCCATCCTGAAACAGAATAGAGAATGTTAATTTTGCTAAAAAGGCATCAGTGAGTTACCCCACGGAAAATATGAGCAGTGAATTTTTATCAAGCTTGGTCATACCCATGGTCACCGGCACACACTGAGCAATAAATTCTGTGTGTTCCAATGGTAGCCGGCACACACATATTTATCTTTTAATATGAACACTAGTTGGCAGTATACAGATAATAGCACAGAATGATATCACTTATTACAGTAGGGGGCAGTATAAATATAATAGCATAGAATGATGTCACACTATATTATTACAGTAGGTGGAAGTATAAAGATTATAGCACATAATGATGTCACACTATATTATTACAGTAGGTGGAAGTATAGAGATTATAGCACAGAATGATGTCACACTATTATTACAGGATGGGCAGTATAAAGAATGATGTCACACTATATTATTACAGTAGGTGGAAGTATAGAGATTATAGCACAGAATGATGTCACACTTATTACAGGATGGGCAGTATAAAGAATGATGTCACACTATTATTACAGGATGGGCAGTATAAAGAATGATGTCACTATATTATTACAGGAGAGGGCAGTATAAAGAATGATGTCATACTATATTATTACAGGAGGGGGCAGTATAAAGAATTGTAAGGAAACCAAGTACATTTAAACCTCAATCAGTAGTTTCCTCCCGAACCGCCAGAGCCCAGTGAACATGGCCCTCTGTTCGGTAGTTATGGTAGACGGATCCCCGTGTAATTCCAATAGTGTCCCTGGATAATTCCCTCAGTAACACACACGAACTCCCAAACAGCATACGTAGTCAGAAGAAGGGTACAAAGATGAACTAAGGATTTATTGACAGGCATTCTCTTTTTATGGGATTCTGCCCATGCAAGGGAGCCTCCCATATAATTAACTGTACAACCAATCATAACAATATACATACTGTACATCTCCTCCGCTCAGATGACCATTTAACATAATTAAAACATAACATAATTTCACCAAAGTCAAGGACTTGGGGTACAGACATAAATTTGGTATCCCCAGTACTCTGGGGGACCAACATATGTAAAAATCAGTCCATTCGGTTCAGCCGTTCGGGAGATATGGGACTTAGAAGTTTTGACCGACTGCACGGGCAAAGTAGCCGAAAACAGTTCCACAAATTCTGGCCCTGCAGTCGGTCTTAGGTCGCATGGAAAACCTCCCGAACGGCCGGCCATCCAGCTACCATCCATGGTTCGCTTGACTCCCCATCTGTCAGTGAGTCTTTCTACCGAATGCCCGGTCATTCGGTAGCTTTAATGGGGTTTTACCGAAGGTATGGAGGATTCAGCGGTGTTCGCCTATTTGAGTGTCCGTTTTCAGTTCCAGATACTCAACGGCAAACACCGCTGTTCGGGAGCTAAAATGGCTGTGAACACGTGGAAGACCTGAAATGGCGGCGGTGCATACCGTTCGTGCAGAACTTTTGTCGAACATGCCCAGCAAGCAGGGAGGTAAAGTATTCATAATGGGCAGCGGGGTGGTCTCGATTCGGTAGTTTTACCTACCGAATGCCATAGGGAAGGCTAACATGAAAGAAGGGAATACAAATTGTCATTTTAAAGCAAAATAGGGGAATTTCTTCACAAGAATGATGTCACACTATTATTACAGGATGGACAGTATAAAGAATGATGTCACACTATAATATTACAGGATGGGCAGTATAAAGAATGATGTCACACTATTATTACAGGGTGGGAAGTATAAAGAATGATGTCACACTATATTATTACAGGAGGGGGCAGTGTGAAGCAATCTATAACTATGGAAGAGCTAGTGGAGCAGCAATATCAGAGGACAACTTCCAGGTCTGAAACTCAAAACCACTACTTGTGAGCCCAGTCTACAGCGAGTCAGACTACAGTGTCTTGGAAACAAAGATCCAATGAAAGATTAGGCTTGAAGCCCCCACATTACTATTTCACAGGGACATGTCTTAACTCACCAGATTGACGAGAGGACCTCCTGAGTTCCCAAACTGAAATAAAACACAAGTGATTAAAGACAATAAGCCTCGACACATACACAGGCCAGTGTCAAATTACAGGTCAGAGACACACACCGTGCACAGAACATACCATATACAGTCACACCGCGCACAGAACATGCCATATACAGTGCGCACAGAACATGCCATATACAGTCACACACCGCGCACAGAACATGTCATATACAGTCACACACCGCGCACAGAACATGTCATATACAGTCACACACCGCGCACAGAACATGCCATATACAGTCACACACCGCGCACAGAACATGCCATATACAGTCACACACCGCGCATACCATATACAGTCACACACCGCGCACAGAACATGCCATATACAGTCACGCACCGCGCACAGAACATACCATATACAGTCACGCACCGCGCACAGAACATACCATATACAGTCACGCACCGCGCACAGAACATACCATATACAGTCACGCACCGCGCACAGAACATACCATATACAGTCACGCACCCAGCACAGAACATGTCATATACAATCACGCACCCAGCACAGAACATGTCATATACAATCACACACCCAGCACAGAACATGTCATATACAATCACACACAGAACATACCATATAGTCACGCACGGCACACAGAACATGCCATATACAGTCATACACTGCGCACAGAACATACCATATACAGTCCCGCACAAAACATGTACAGTCCCGCACAGAACATGCCATATACAGTCCAGCACAGAACATGCCATATACAGTCCCGCACAGAACATGCCATATACAGTCCCGCACAGAACATGCCATATACAGTCACGCACCGCGCACAGAACATGCCATACAGTCACGCACCATGCACAGAAATATATCTCAAAACATCGCCATTACTACCAGATACCTAAAAACTGCAACGTAAAGTCAGCATTGCCATGTGAACCATAACAACCAAACATGAAAAAACACTGCCACAAGCACCGTCACCATTAATACCCACCATGAAAACACTGCCACATGCTCCGTCACCATTACTACCCACCATGAAAACACTGCCACACGCTCCGTCACCATTACTACTCAACATGAAAACACTGCCACACATTCTGTCACCATTACTACCCAATATGAAAACACTGCCATTGTGATGTTTTGTACAAATTAGCCAATAATTCCTGTATAACGAAGTACTCACTTTAATAATACATATATAACAGGATCTTCATATTGCAGCCTTGTTACACAGCGTTTCAAATCCCTCGAACATACCACCAACTGCCAACAGGAACAGGAAGTAAAGAACCAAAAGAAAGGAAGTGCATCATTCACAGCCAACAACTGCCCAACTGCCCATACATCACAATACATACACTCATACACAGCCCAACTGCCCATACATCAGTCACACGCACCGTCACCATTACTACCCACCATGAAAACCCTGCCACACGCTCCGTCACCATTACTACTCAACATGAAAACACTGCCACTGTGATGTTTTGTACAAATCAGCCAATAATTCCTGTATAACAAAGTACTTTATTAATACATATATAACAGGATCTTCATATTGCAGCCTTGTTACACAGGGTTTCAAATCCCTCGAACATACCACCAACTGCCAACAGGAACAGGAAGTAAAGAACCAAAAGAAAGGAAGTGCATCATTCACAGCCAACAACAGCCCAACTGCCCAATGCCCATACATCACAATACATACACTCATACATTCACACACTCATACACAGCCCAACCACCCATACATCACATCTCCTTCCTTTCTCAACCAAAGAAAGAAACAAAACAAAATAGTAAAAAGTCAACAATAGTAAAAGAACTATTTAAAAATGTGTCCTTAATCTGCATCAATCTGTCCATCTTCAAGATCTACAATCTTTTTTTCAGGACAGCTTATTCTACTCCTACTAGGATACCATTTCCGCTTTCTCATTGAGGAGTTTCTGCGACTATAGTCCCTTAATGGATCTTCTGGTTGCCAGCGGTTTGTGGCCCTTCTCTCTTTTGTTGAATGGCCAGTATTTTCATGACCACAGCTGGTTACTTGAACTGTGGCTTGGCAGTTCTTGTTCCTGAGTTTCATGGGGTATTTCCTCCAAATCATCCCCTATTACGTCCTGAGTCTATGTACCAGGATGTATTGTAGACTTCAGAAATGTCATCATGCCAAACTCCATGCAAGATATCAGTGTCTGGTTGCATGAGTGGCCCTACCCACTTTGATAGGTTGTCTGTTATACGTGGTCGAAGTTGATTTGTATGTCTCTGTGTGTAACATCCATCAGAGGTTAAAACTTTATAGTGTGCTGTCCCCAGAACTTCCTTTATCACTGCTTCTTTCCAACGATTCTCCTGATATACAGACAGAATCCCCTGTCTGGTAACAACGGCCTGATTTTCTGACTTGCATCTTCGATTGTTGCTGGATGACCCTTTGTTGAATCTCTGGTTTTAGCAGATCCAACTTTGTCCTGAGTTCACGGCCTAACATAAGGCATGCTGGAGGTTGTCCAGTGGTTGGATAAGGTGTATTTCGATACTGTAGAAGGAACTCTGACAAACGATGTTCAGGTCTCTTTCCTTCTGCTTTCAGACTTCTCAGAAAACCCTTTAACGTTTGAACAAAACGTTCTGCTTGACCATTAGTAGCAGGATAATACGGTTCCGTAAGATGATGCCAAATACCGTTTTCCTTCAAAAAAAGCCTGAAATTGTCCAGAAACAAACTGCGGTCCATTATCTGAAACAAGCACTCTGGGCAAGCCAAATGTTGCAAATAGTTTCTGTAATGCTTTAACAGTAGCTTCTGCAGTGGTCTGCAACATGAATAGAACTTCTGACCATTTAGAAGGTGCGTCTACCACAATCAGATACATTTTATTTTCCACTGGTCCAGCAAAGTCTATGTGAATTCTCTGCCATGGTGATAGAGGCCAGGTCCAAGGTTGTACGGCACCATGTGGCAAGTCACGCTGTGCTTGTGCACAACCAGTGCAACCTGAAACATAACAGGCAATGTCCTCATCAATGGTTGTCCACCATACATGACCTCTTGACTTCTGCTTTCATTCAGGATGACCTGCATGTAAAATTTCAAGAATCTGTTGTTGTAACACAAAAGGAATAACCACCCTTTCTCCCAAGACTAAACAGCCATCTCGAATTGATAACTCCTGAGCTCTTGTTTGGAATGACATGAGATGTATTGGAGTCTTTAGTGGCCAACCCTTGCGTACAAAATTAAGTATTTCCCAAAACACTACCCTATGCCTGGGAACATCTGCTATTGCCGGCCCTTTAAGAGCCAGGCAGGCACCTACACAGGTACAGAGACATGGGATTATAACGATATATTGTTTAAATGTCTACCATCACCCTAATGCAAAGACATTTAGTCAAGCCAGAACATTTTTCTAATCGCACCGTTGCAGTACGTGTAGCGGGAGGAGCTGTGTTTCGCCTACCTACGGCCCGGGTGCATCTGTACTGGGGGGTCATGTCTGGGAAAACCACTGTGGGCATCATGGACAACCTGCCTGCCGAAGTCGTGTTGGGCAACGATATTGGCACTCTGGCTTCGGCCTACTTACCCACAACCGCTGCTGCTTGTCCAGTGACCACTCATTCACAGACCCGTGCTACAGATGACCCTATACCAGGACGGGAGACCCAGGTAAGCAAAGAACCGACCCTTAGACCCAATCCATTAGAGAGACCGCTAGCTTGGGATACCCAAGAAGAGTTTGGGAGGGGAACCAGAGAGGACCCAACCCTCCAAAAGTACCGTGAAATAGCCGACAGTGGGGGGGATGAGCAGGAATGTTTTGTATGGGATAACGACAGGTTGTACAGATTAACCGAAAATAGGAAGAGAGGCTGTGTCCCTTCGCAGAAACACCAACTAGTGGTACCCAGAAAGTACCGGTTGGAACTTCTCCGAATTGGCCATGATATTCCCTTAGGAGGACATTTGGGTGGTAACCGCACAACTTACAGGATCACCCAGACCTCCTTTTGGTCGTGGATCTCGAAGGATGTGCGGCGCTACTGCAGCACTTGTGACGTCTGCCAACGAGTAGGGAAGAGAGGGGATCACCCTAGGGCCCATGCCCGTGATCGAAGAGCCGTTTACCAGGGTGGCAGTCGATCTGGTGGGACCCCTACCTAACCCCAGTCCATCCGGTAAGAAATACATTCTTACCGTGGTGGACTATGCTACTCGCAATCCGGAAGCTGTCGCTCTAATATCCAGGCTGACACTGTCGCCAGTGCTTTTGTCGGGATATTCACCAGAGTGGGATTCCCACAAGAAATACTGTCTGACAGAGGGACTCAGTTTACCGCAGACTTAACCCAACAGTTATGGAAGGTCTGCGGTATTAAAACCCTTCTCAGCTCACCTTAACACCCCCAGACTAACGCTCTCTGTAAACGCTTTAATGGTACCCTAAAACAGTTACTGCGGACCTCATCCGACCTCATCCGAGAGCACTGGGAAGGAGAGATGGAACATTGTGCCATATGTTTTGGAGATGCGGGATGGAGACCATCTCCATCTAGCCCAGGATCGACAGAAACGATGGTATGATTGGGAGGGCCGACAAAGATCTTTCCAGGTGGGACAGAAGGTCCTGGTGCTTAGGCCAGTTAAAGGGAATAAGCTCCAGACCTCCTGGCAGGGTTCCTTACAAGGTGGTTGCGCAAGTCTGTGACACTGCCTATGTGATTGCCAGTAACAAGGATGAAAGGATTCAGAAATCCTTCCATGTTAATCTTTTAAAGGAATATCAAGAGAGGCCAGAGAATATTGCAGCCATATGTATTCCTGCTACAGAGGACCCCGACAGCCTACCTATCCCAGACCCTACTAGCACGCACAGACCCTAATAGTTTGCTCAGTACTGTCCAACTAGCGGAGCACTTAAATCCAGCAGAAAAGGGGCAGATCAGACAGTTGTTAACCGAAAAGAGAACGTTCTCCCAAGAACCAGGGTACACCACGCTAGCGATCCACTACGTAGAGACTCCAGGACAAAACCCTCTTAGACAGAACCCCTACCGAATCCCTGAGGCAGTGAAGGAGGAAATGAGAAAAGAGATCCAGGAGATGCTGAGGCTAGGAGTCATAGAGCCATCAGATAGTCCCTGGGCCTCGCCAGTTGTCCTAGTGCCCAAAAAGGACGGAACCACCCGGTTCTGTGTGGACTATAGACGCCTCAATGACCGTACAGTGACGGATGCGTACCCAATACCCCGAGTGGATGAACTATTAGATCGCATTGCCAGGGGACGATATTTGACCACTATTGATTTGTGCAAGGGGTGCTGGCAGATCCCCCTTGTAGCGGAGTAGTAGTATTATCCACGGTATCTCCGCTGGTAGACAGAATCAAGCAGGCACAAAGCAGGTACAATCCAGGTAGCGTAGTTACAATCCCTTCCTCCCAAGAACTAGACGACACGTAGCTTGGAGGTCAACTGAGGTTTTATTTTCAGCTCACGGTATTTATGGGATTCCCCATGTATGCAGCAGAACTGACATTTTACATTAAAATACATATCTCCCATAATATTCCCTTCATTTAAACGAATGGACGTTCGGTAGATAGCTGGGGTCTGAATGCATAGTTCGTGAGAATACCGCTCAGATCCCAGCCTAACTAACCGAACGCCGCACGAAACACACATGACATTCAAGTTCTGCTCAAAATACCGATTGACATCAGGGGAACAACCTCCAGAACAGCCTGGAAGTCCAGCGGGGTTCGCGTCGTCGAGTAGCCGATTTTGGTTCCAGGCGCTCGACGACAAAACCCCGCTGGGCTAACAAAGGAACCAAGATGGCCGACCGCCGCGTGGTCGGTAGTCGAACGACGGCCACCTAGGCACACAATTAATTACCGATTGCAACAATGTTGCAATCGGTTAATGGGCGCCACACGACCCCCTGTGTGTGGTCCTGCATTCGGTAAGTTATTAGTTTCACGAATAGAGTTTAAACTCACTGTTCGTGAAACTACAGTATGAATGCTGGGGTTTTCATACCGCCAGCATACGAATGCCCTCATTCGCCTGAAATACAAATAGAATCCTGCACTGATCTCTACGGCTTTAGCAAGAATACAAACATACTTATACATTAATAGTCTCCAGTGGCTAGTTTTGCCACACCCCTGGCCAAGGAGGCTATTCCCAAGTCAGCGTTCGTCACCCTGTTTGGCCTGTACCAATTCAAGGTCATGCCATTCGGGATGAAGAATGCCCCAGCCACATTTCAACGCTTGGTGGATAGGCTCCTTTATGGCTTCCAGGACCTCGCCTGTGCATACCTGGATGACATTGCGATCTATAACGAAACCTGGGGGGAACACTTGAAACATGTAGAGGCCGTACTGGACCAGATTCGGGCCGCAGGCCTAACTCTGAAGCCAGAAAAAAAAGTGTCACTTTGGTATGGCCGAAGTCCAGTACTTGGGACACTGGGTAGGGTGTGGGAAACAGCGACCAGAGCCGGCTAAGGTCGAGGCCGTGGCCAACTGGCCCACACCCCACACCCCACACCAAGACTCAGGTACTGGCTTTCTTAGGGACGGCCGGGTACTACAGGAAATTCATCCCTGACTATAGCGCCATCGCTAAGCCCATGACAGACCTAACTAAAAAGAACCTGAACTCTGTGGTCTCCCTCCTGCGAAACAGCATTCAAAGCTTTAAAGAAGGCCTTGATCAAGGCGCCTGTTTTATCTGCCCCCGTCCCTAAAAGATTTGTCGTCCATACAGATGCGTCCATGTACGGACTGGGGGCAGTTCTAAGCCAAATCGGGGAAGATGGAGGAGAACACCCTGTCGCGTACCTGAGTAGAAAATTGTTACCCAGGGAAGTGAGCTACGCGGCAGTGGAGAAGGAGTGTTTAGCCCTGGTCTGGGCTTTAAAGAAACTTACACCGTATTTGTATGGTCAGGAATTCACACTTATCACTGATCATAATCCCCTGGTATGGTTGAATAGAGTGGCTGGAGATAATGACCGCTTACTAAGATGGAGCCTAGCTCTGCAACCATACAATTTTTCCATCCTGGCAAGTTCAACGGGAACGCAGATGGACTGTCCAGGCAAACCGAACTTCTGCCCTAACAGCCGGCCGGACAGCCTCAAGTTGACCCAAAAAGGATCAAGCCGGGTCTGACGGAGTGTTCCACAAAAGGGGATCCATGTAGCAAAACACTACCCTATGCCTGGGAACATCTGCTATTACCGTCCCTTTAAGAGCCAGCCAGGCACCTACACAGGTACAGAGACATGGGATTATAACGATATATTGTTTATCCAGTGAAAGGATACCTGTGGCGGAACACGCCTCGCCACTGGACATTGGAGAGGCCTGGCTGCCCGCCTCCTACCTGCTGACTATGGCCCCTGGTAGATTTGTACTTTTAATGCAATATTTGGGCATGTGATATTGTATATTGCTGCTACTGGCCCTTTAAGGGCCATCCGGGGACATATTATGACTTTTAGGAACAATACCCCTTTAAGACTTGGTAGCAGATTACAGTAAGGATATATTATGTATGCTTCTGTGTGTTCAGCTAAATTGTATATGTGTATGCAGCTGATTTTTCGGTAGAATCACTCCAATCATTATATTGAGTGAAACTACCGAACAGCCAGACCTCCAGGGAATAAGTGTGCCTCCAATTACCCATTTGCAACATTGTTGCAAGCGGGTAATAGGCAATCAGTGTAATGTGTTCTTTGTCCTCTGGGTGGCCGCCAGTCGTTTCCAGTCTGTAAAAGAAATCACTGATACAGCTGCAGCTGTGTCCAAATCCATAGTCCGTTCCTTTCCATTTACAACAACCTGAACTGTGAATGCAGCCAGATTAGAACCTATTTTATATATTTTTAAATTTCGGACAGGAAATTGTTCATCCGAATCCTCAGACTCCTCCTGCATTTGTACTCTATGGGCATTCTTTGCTGTGTCTCTCAAGCAATTACTGCCTCTCTCTGCTGTGGATTTACACACTCTTTGTAGGTGGCCCATTTTACCACAAGCATGACACATGGAATCCTTGAATCTGCATGTAGTTGCAACATGTGTAGCAGCTTTTTTAAATGGTAAATCTTCTTCTCTAAGCAGTCTCCTTAGCACTGCATCACTTGCAATGCCCATCACAAACTGGTCTCGCAGAGCATTGGGCAGGTAGTCCCCAAAACAGCAGGTGCTGGCGAGTTTCCATAAGGCAATGGCATATGCTGAAACTGATTCACCAGGCTCTTGTCTTCTTTTATAGAATTTAAATCTCTCTGCTATCTCTAGTGGTTGTGGTTGGAAATGGCTAGTTAACAGAGTAATCAGGCTTGCCAATGGCTTGCTGGCAGGTTTCTCTGGGTGTAAGAGGCTCCTTAGTGTATCATACGTTCTGGCTCCTATAACTGTTAGGAAAACAGACCTGTTTATTGTCAGGAATATCATTAGCTGTGAAATATTGTTCAAGCCTTTCAACCCGAGAGGCCCATAAATCCGAGTCAGGATCAAAGTCCTTTATAGTGCCAATGGGTGCCATGTCAGTTAGGGTTCTACAGCCTCGTCGCCATTGTGATGTTTTGTACAAATCAGCCAATAATTCCTGTATAACAAAGTACTTTATTAATACATATATAACAGGATCTTCATATTGCAGCCTTGTTACACAGGGTTTCAAATCCCTCGAACATACCACCAACTGCCAACAGGAACAGGAAGTAAAGAACCAAAAGAAAGGAAGTGCATTATTCACAGCCAACAACAGCCCAACTGCCCATACATCACAATACATACACTCATACACAGCCTAATCGCCCATACATCACAGCCACACGCACCGTCACCATTACTACCCACCATGAAAACACTGCCACACGCACAGTCACCATTACTACCCACCATGAAAACACTGCCACACGCACCATCACCATTACTACCAAACATGTAAACACTGCCACACGCTCAGTCACCACTACTACCAAACATGAAAACACTGCCACACGCTCCTTCACCATTACTACCCAACATGTAAACACTGCCACACGCACAGTCACCACGCACAGTCACCATTACTACCCACCATGAAAACACTGCCACACGCTCCGTCATCATTACTACCGTGTCACCATTGGTAGCCCCTACATTTTTAACGTATCGCTTACATCAATGGTTGCGTCTGTCTGTATGTAGTCCATGTCTCTACTAGATAGGCCCAGCTCCCGGCTGCCTCGATGAACAGAGCTTACAATACCCGAGGTGATTGTATTCTGCAGTGAAAATGGACTGCCCATTGCCACCACAAATTCCCCTTGCCTGACATCACAGGAGCGGCCCAGCTTCAGGGTCGGAAGTGGAGCCTGTGGAAAGACATGGGGGAAAATTAAAAAACTGCAGTGCTTGGGGGATAGTATGAAAAAAAGAAATACCACATCAAAGAAGTTATGGAGGGGGAGCCAAATACAATAGTATAAATCAACATTAATATGTATCTACCTAACCAGCCAACAGAAAATGAGAGAAATTTCATTTTCATCTCATCCAGCAAAGTTTGAGATATTGCCTGAAGCTTGGAAGACACTGCACCTCATTTATTCTACCAATTGTCACTATATTATTTAACTATACCTGTGGCGAAAGTGACCTCGTCATTGGTTTTTGGAGGGGCCTGTTTGCCTGCCTCCTACCTTCTGACTATGGCCCCTGGGAGTTTGCCTATTATAAACATTGTTTGGGCTTATTGGATTTTGGGACACTTTCTGCCCCATTGAATCCATGGGAAGGTGTGCCTCCCCCACTCCCCCCCATTGTTCTCCAGCAGGGTGTTGTCCTAGGGACCCTGCCAGACCAGTTGGAACTGGCTGATTTGTCCCTCCTCGGTCACAAAGGACTTTCAACTAACTTTTTAACCACTGAAGGGAATTGTCTGAATTTTGGATATGTTTATATTTGAAGTGTGCTGATTAATAATATAATATGAGATTGGATGTATATTTTAGAAATTATAAGAATTGTGTAAAAACTATTTTTCTGCCTGTGATAATTACATTATCCATTGTGTACAGTAACTATATCACAGGCAGAGGGGAGGGTTTGTTTGTCCTGACTGGGAGTGTTTAACTGTATTATAGTATATTTGACTTGCTGTACTACAAAACCATGTGGCTGGCAACATTGTGTAAAAATGTGTATATAAGAAACAATAAAACAACAGCTCTATCTGTTCCTGTCTCCACTCCAAAACTGTGTGTCGTCCAGTTATTGGAGGGAAGAAGATTTGCTCCTGTGTCTGCTGTTCCAGCATCCAGGAGATTCAACGGGGAAAGTCCATGTAAGGACTAGAGCTAATTCCCTATAAGGTTCCAGAGTTCCCAAGACAGTGTCGTCCAGTGTCTGGAGGTGTCTGCTGGAGTGCTTGGAGCCCTCAGGAAGCGCTAGGAGCATCTTTCAACGAAGGTACCCAGTCGGGGTGCCGGGCGATCCGTTACAATACCCATATTACCAACTTTATCTGTTATTCCACTGTTATTTTCTGTACTTGCAGTTTTTCATTGTTCTTTTCAGTGAATATATTTCACCAACTTTTGAATGCTTATTTCAACTATCATAACCATTACAGCCTACATCAGTGTTTATGATGGAAGAAGTACCCTGGGTCACCAGTAACCAAACAATTTAACAACAGTTTGCCCTGTTACCCGGTCCTGTCACGCTGGATATTCCCTGAAACCAAAATTCTGATCCTACCACTCATTCATTGGCTGAGAGCATTAGATGACTGCCAAATTAATTTAATTCTGTGCATCATAATATGCACAGAACTAAAATTACCCCTATGATGACAACCCAATGATGCTGCTGAAGGTGAAGTTACACCTCTGGCAGCAGAGGAGATAAACGCAGTATTAGTTTCAAAGTAAAACTCTGCACATCATTTATTAAAGTGGCGATTGTGCCTAGAGTAACCCTTGAAGGTACATTGTGTTAATATTTTATTCACCCTGGCACCTGAGATTTGTCAGCCCTCTGGCTAAAGAGAACGGTGGAGGAACAATAGAGCCGGCTCCAGGAGTATTGTAGCCTGCCGCCCTGGGGAGCACGGAGGCGGTCGGCTCAGGAAGCATGGACGCAGACTCCATTCGCTTGTGTTCGGTTGTCCGTACCACCTTGTTCATCTCCTGAATGACTGGTGTGTGGTCCCCTTATTATGCCCCAGCGAACACTGACCTCACCTGGCTGTTAACCACAAATTAACAGCTTGACACCTTCGCTTGAGTGCTTTCCCTGGGTGGCCACCATTCATATAACTGAACGCACGTGGTCCAGTGCATGGTGGCCATTTTGTCTCCCGAGCGCAGGCAGCGGTACCTGGTCGAATGCATGTAACTATTTTCGGTGTAACTTTTTTTGTGGGTTCCTGTATTCCTTACATGTATTTTGGGGGTTTGTAAGTTTCTGTATTTGAGAGCTAGTGGAGTTATCCTAACTTGAGCTCAATTATCTCTCAAACACAAAGTCTCTTGGAAAAAAAACAAACAAAAAAACCTTTCGATTTGGAAACTCCAAAATTTTTTAGCTGTCACCTAAATTCATTTTTTTTTTTTTTTTTTTTAAAAAGACCTGTTGTATGGTTTACAATACATTTTTGCTTTACCCCCCTGCCACCCCTATTCCTTGCCCCTATTAGTAGTATATACCTCTGCCTGTCTTTTCTCCATTTCTTTTCTCAGTCTTTGTCACTTTACCAGCCAACCTTTACCATATTCACCAAGCGCTGCCCATCCTGTGTCCAGCTTACTTTATATCATGCTTGTCCAACTAAATGAGAACTCACTCAAGTACCTCCTCATTCCAGTGGTGCTGGAAATAAGGTAAGTTTTCATTTCTTTTAAGGGGGCAAGCCACGTAAATGTTGGTATTAACACTACATGGTCAGGAATACAGGTTTGTGTTCCTGGCCCTATAATGTTCCTTTACATGCTAGAGGTACTGTAGTGTACGGAGAGCCAGCTGACTGTGTCTGGTAGATAATGGAGTCAAAACTTAGTAACTAAATTATCTCTCAGTTACAGGAAACTACATAAAAAATACAAAGCACCCCAAAACCATAGTCATAATCCACAGGTACCTCACAAATCTTATATTCCTGAATAACCCAGATCTGAGCACCCTAGTTGTCCAAATAGTGCTCAGTTCCATTCGGAAGAACGGAATCGCCATTCGGTTAAAGTTCTGACCACTTTTGGGAGTTCCTGTGCGAACACAAACTAATGGCTTTTAGGGAATGCTCCCCCCAGTCGGTAGTTCCTATCTCCCGAACGTCATTCTCCTAGCTGGTCAGGAAGTGGAACGGGCAATGGTACAGTCTTTACCCAGGTTTGTGGGATCGCGTAGCCGAAAAGAGCTCCAGGCGTTTGACGACCAGATAACACTGACTGTGTTGGGAGACGAAATGTCCGTCATTCACTGGAGCACGTGTTTGGTTATTTGAATGATGGCCACCCATGGAAAGTACTGGAGTTAATTGCTGTGTTTGTGGTCAACAGCCAGGGGTGGTCGGGGTGCAGGGAGGTATACAAGGGGAGCCACACATCATCCATTCAGGAAACAAACAAGGGAGGTATGGACAACCGAACTGAGAGGGAACGGGTCTGCTACATATTGTATTAGGTATAGACTGCTAAAAGCTTACACCAAGAGTACATGTTTATACAGTATGTTTACAAATTGATGCTGCATTTCTGATAGGGGCCAACTGTGTTTCATTGTCCTTGTATGCACAACCTACAGTGATAAAGTAAATGAATCTGAATACCGGAGGACTGGTTCCAGGTTTGGAATATTCCGCCTAGTGTTTGTCCCTTCTCCTAAGGTGAAATATAGCAGAGTCAGCTTTTTCTTCCAGTTCTACCCAACTAGTAATGCCAAGGATCTTCTCACAGACGTTCCCCCACAAATAGCAGCCAGACACTTGATACAGTGGGGAACAGAAATGTACACTTTGCTTATACACACAATGGGTTTTTATCCATTTATCTCTACAGTGAAAACAAGTCAACCAATAGCAGTATGGACATGGGATAGCAACCAATTACACTCCATATCCCAAGTCAACCAATAGCAGTATGGACGTGGGATAGCAACCAATTACACTCCATATCCCAAGTCAACCAATAGCAGTATGGACATGGGATAGCAACCAATTACACTCCATATCCCAAGTCAACCAATAGCAGTATGGACGTGGGATAGCAACCAATTACACTCCATATCCCAAGTCAACCAATAGCAGTATGGACGTGGGATAGCAACCAATTACACTCCATATCCCAAGTCAACCAATAGCAGTATGGACGTGGGATAGCAACCAATTACACTCCATATCACAAGTCAACCAATAGCAGTATGTTTGACGGTAGTCACAATTGCCTGGACTTTGAGACAGACTTTTTATGTAGGTTGCGGGACTTTTCTTATGTTTTAGTCACCCTCTACCCATTATAGGTGCAGTGTGTGTTATGGAATGATTTAGTGTTAAATGTTAGTGTGCTGTCCTGTATTGCTAATGCTTGCAATGAACTAGGTGGATTGGGCTGTGAGCCTGTACAGCGCCACCTGTTGGTTGCAAGGATCTAGCAACCACTGTATGCACTACCTGAATAGCAAGGATAGCTAATTTGCATATTCAGGTAGATTTGCATATTGCTATTTCTGCAAGCAGGAGAGGTGTTTTGTGTTAATTATTGTCTTCCCCACCCCTTTAAATATGTAATTATGTTATTATAAGTTCCAGTATGTTGTCTAATGTGATTTGAGCGCTTGTATTTGTGACAGAACCATCTGCTTCTGGATTTTACTGCATTCGTCTGTTTATCCCCGTTCGTATGAATGGCTGGTTTCTATAGCCCAGCCATTCAATGACTCTTTTTTCCCGAACAAACCTGCCGAACGAACGGCCACCCAAGTGAGGAGTGTGCTGCTGGTTAACGTAGTGATCCCAATTAGAACGTTGTGGTTAACCGCAGACACTTCTCAATTAAACCGAATTCAGGGTGGTCGTCGTTCGTATGTCGACCACGAGGCAGCGGCCATTTTAAACCGCGAAAGCCCAGCGGTGTTTGGCTCTATTTCTATTTCTCATTCGTATACCGAAAGACTGTAAGAACTTTGACTCCATGGCGATTGAACTATGTGTGTGGGATCTGAGCGCTATTCGCTAATAATATGCACTCAGATCCAGGCTATCTGGGGATATGTAATACGAATGGGAAATGTTCGGTTTTTGTGTAGTTATATATTTTTATGTCTTTTATTATTTTATGTCTAAGATGGCGACTGGCTTTGTCCTGGAGTTAATTGAGTTACTT